TGAATATGATTAGTAAAATTTTACAGGCATGTAAAAATAGTAAAGAAGTTTTAAATCATTTTATAACCCATCATATTGATATGGTATTTTGGGAATTTTGATAATAAAAACCATGATGTTCGTGACAAGCATTGCCAAAAGTAATTTTCGACAGCTGCCAAAATTATGATTACTTTACACGTACATCCATATAATTAGTTATCGTACCTTTATTTGAAAGTACCTGAACAATTACCGCCCTACTATCACAAATACTGTATGCGTTATCATCAATTGATTAAGAAACCATGCTGTATGGATGCATTATAACAAACATAAATCTACATATCGTTGACTTGACTGATTCTTGCGGGGTCCCATCACTTGCGCCTGCAAGTATTTTCTCGATTAGAGAATTCGTTATGATTCAAGACAATCTAATATTTCATCTTTCGATTGCTCTCGCTGGACGACAAGCGTTTGACAACGTAGTTGGGGAAAACTCCGTCATGAAACGGCATGGATTAGTTTATCGGATCCTACATACAGTAGAATAAAGGTGTCAGTTAATAAGCCATTAGTTACTATTATCATTATCGCCACTGCTTAAGTATAAAACGAAGAATGTTACACCATTAAAGTTGAGGTTACTGACAGCTGATCTAAGAACTGGACACACCAAAATAATTCGATAACATGATTGATCAATGGCAGGAGAGACTTGAAGATTAAATCAATTTACTCGAATGCCTAATTGTACGACATCTAAGGCTCTTTTGCTTTCGCTGCTGCGATCGATCATTTGAGCCCGACGTCACAAATCAAAACGTTAAGTCGTGTGAAACATTCTTTACCGAAATTTTCTGGGTAATGGAGGTGCAGGAGGTATGTTGTGAAATATTCCGTGATGGTGCTTATTATCTTCAACGTCTGAAAGAATTTTCTTGATCATATTCATGGTTTTCCCGAACTTCTTGCATACAGCTGACGTCCTCGTTAACCGATATGCAAGAGTGAAGCGCAGAGAGTAGCTTCCAAAAAGTCGTACGTTTACTTGAATGGTAATCATGTTTACATTGTTCACTGAAGACGATATAATGCCTGCAAAGAAACGTGCAAACGTTCTAACCCAAAACTACATAATCTATGGTTCGATATTTACAATGTCTGATAAGTAGTGAGCATTTAGAAAGTTCGCACAAGCGCGTTCGATCAAAAATTGTCCCAAACGTCG